TGCCTTCAAGACCTCATCTACACTGCCATATAATGCAGTGTAGTATTTGATTAGCCTGGGGTGTCCAAATGACAAACCCAGACTAATGCGTTTTAACCCAGTATAAACTGTTTAATACACCTTGATCCTGGGTAAAAAATACACCAATTAAGATCTGGATCCCACAGGAAGATCCAAATCCATACTGGTGCTCTGGCAGCAGAAATTGACATCTGGGATGGCCAAGTGCACACTCCCTGGACTCAGACAGGCCAGGGAAGTGGGATGGCAATGCCTCCCAAGCCTCTCTCCACTTTAATTACCTAAAAAATGGCAGAGAATTGAGATGGAGCTTTAACAGGAGAGGAAAAGAGCTTCCTGCTCCAAAGCTCTGTTGCACCCTGAATGACGTGATCCAGAGAGAAGACAGCCTCCCGCATTGGTAAGGAGGATTATGCATCATTTTTACAAGGAATTAGGGTGCATGGAGCATTGGCCGAGCCATGTGGTCGATCCTTTCCATTTAGGTGGCTTTTGGCAGCCACAGGTGGCTACAATGCAACTCAGAAATGGCGTTTTTAATGCTGTCTGAGCCGCATTTTGTGGCAGCATGAAAGTGCCACAAGTCATTCCCAATTTGTGGCAACCCTGAGGAAAACCGATCATGGGGATTTTTTGGCAAGATTATTTCATGGGGGTTTCTTTCACCTTCCTCTAAGGAAGAGAGAATGTGACTTGCCCAAGGACAGTCAGTGGGTTTCGATGTCTGAGTGGGCAATTGGACACTGGCCTCCAGAGTCATAGGCCAATTCTCAAACCACTACACTACACTACACTGACACTCAACTGTAACATAGAATTATGTAGAATACTTGTGCATTTTTCATACCCTTGACAAAAAAGGGCATCTTAGTACATCAAAACATCTTGTGAAGAAAATTGCCATCCCTATGAGATTTATCCCCCAATATGAAAATGAGAAGAAAGGAAAGCTTATAGAAGACAGTGATGCTGGGGAAAATGGAAGGAAAAAGGAAGAGGGGCTGACCAAGGGCAAGATGGATGGATGGTATCCTTGAAGTGACTGGCTTGACTCTGAAGGAGATGGGGGTGGTGACAGCCGACAGGGCGCTCTGGTGTGGGCTGGTCCATGACGTCACGAAGAGTTGACTGAACGAATGAACAATGAAAATGAAAAGATCAGACCCAGAACTTTTTCAGCAGCATCAGCAATAGTAAAAAAAAAAATGAAAGAAAGCTATATATAGCATTTTGCATAGAAAACAAGGTTCCAACTTGTCCCAAAATGTAATCAAACTGCACAATGACTCTTGGAATCTCAACCAAAGCACAGAAAATGTTTAAAAATATTCATCCTCACATTTGAGAATTCCACAAGTAAAGATTCATCATCCTGCTTTTGCAAATTGGATTAGACTTGAGTCACTTCATTTTAGAGTGACTCTTCTTCATTCCTTAATGCAGGCTACAGCCAACCTTCTGGAAAGTATGATCCCATGGTACGCAGTCTTCACAACCTGGCCCATTCATATAGGATTTTTTTAAGTTATATAATACAATATCATTTTAATACTCATGCTCAGTCCTTTTACAGACTCACCATTTTTCATCTCAGGGTGCATGTACACTGTAGAAGTAATACAATTTGACATGATTCCATACAATGGAATCCTGGGAGTTGTAGTTTGATGAGGCACCAGCACTGATTCATAATGAAGGCAAAACACCTTACACAACTATCGCTCTCATGATTCCATAGCATTGAGCCATGGCATTTAGTGGTGCCAACTAAATTAATTCTGCAGTGTTCATGAACCTCAGTGTTGTGTCATGGCAATTGCACACTTAATGAATAATAATGTAAATGTGTTTTTAAGATTAAGACAAGTGGAAAAAAAACTATTCTTTGCTTTAAGGCAACATTCACTTTATGGATAGTCTGGACCTTAACCTGTTGCATTAGTGACATATGCCTGTATATTGCTCATACAATATAGTAGGACAATATCACTGAACTATATTATGCTACATTGTGAACATTTCTCCCCAGAGGAAAAAAATGAAGTCTGCTGACAATTGAGATTCTCACATTCCCTGATTTAGTTTTGTGGTGCTGTTAAATCAGAATGGAGAATTCTTAGGCCCACTGAAGCATAAGGTCCCTTTCCAAAGTCCATCTGTTGGCAGACATTCAGAAAAAGACATGTGGCGAGCAGAAGAAACAGCTGGCCCATTAGGAAGCATAGGATCATCTTGACATTTGTGTCAGCAGTTAGAAAATGCATGTGGTGGTTTCGATTATGCTCACTGCCCTTTTGCTTCAAAGGAAAAGCATTTGCTTAATGCTAAGAAACAGATTTTTGCATTTCACCACCAGGGTGCAACACTTCCCTTTGCTTACACAGCAGATGGATGAATGAGTGTGTCATGTCTCATTCTCCAAGTCTAACCAGATTATTCAGATTTTGTAATGCTCAAAATGGACAATTCTAGGGAAATAGCAGCCATATGTCTGGGAGTCCATAATGTGGAAGGAGTCATGTAATTTCCTTGAGCAACTCAAGAAATTTGCCTGGGATCCTGCCAGATGAAATTGTATCCATCTGGGAATACTGTGCGATTTCCATTTTTAATTTCCAACCTGTGACTCTTCTTCATTCCTTAATGCAGGCTACAGCCAACCTTCTGGAAAGTATGATCCCATGGTACGCAGTCTTCACAACCTGGCCCATCTGTTTTTGAATGGCACAGGAGGGCAAACCCATCTCTCGCCGAATGATCCTATTTTTGTTCTCCTTCACACCTTTACGGATGCACTCTTTGATGAATGGCTAAGGAGGCACAATACCGGTGAGGTCTTCTTGTTTGCCTTATTTCTCCACAATGAACTAGAGAAAGCTATTTATCAGTTGTAATGTGTCTACCTAATTCTCACCCAGTACGGTGCATGAGATAAATGGGCCAGGCACCTATGTTGGTCTATACAAAGAAGCTTCTCTGATCTTGCTGCAAAGATACAGCTGTCTTAAGATCTAAGTGGCATAATTCCTGCTTTTTCCTTCTGTCTCTGAAACAGAATGAAATGCAGTCAGGGAAGCCATTTTTGTATTGCTGATGTACAACAGGGGTATAGCTGTGGGGCAAAGAACAATGTGGGTAAGAATTCTGATTCTCCACCCCCAATAAAATTGCCTTTCACTCCCCAAACTTTTAGCATTGCAGTAACTCAAAACTTGAGCTGAGCATTTAGAAATAGAATTTAGGCATCCAAAGAAAAAGGTCAGACAAATGAAGCAAACGTGAACACATCAAATAAAAGACTTCTAGGTGTGAACAATGTTCAGTGTCTTCCTCTACAGTGCGAATAATTTGGGAAATGAAGTATAATTTCATTGTCAGACAGAATTCTTTTCAGAGGGACAATGTTATGTTATTGCTCCCCCTCTAATGTGGAATAAATTATCACACGTGGTGTGGTGGAATTTTCCGACACAGCCTTCATTCTTCACTCCATCTTATAAAAAAGTTAGTCTTACCTCCATCTTAGAACTTTGCAAATGTAGGTCAGGCATGGCTATCCATAATTCTACAGGGGGTGGGGGGGGATAGGAAAAAAAACTATACTTTCTGCTATATTGCACACATTTCACCCAGGTCAAGCAACAATTCTGTCAAGTTGCAAAGATCTGTTTGTTACTGTCGCAAAACCACATAAGTTCATGACATGTTCTGCCACCAGATACAAGACAAAAGCAAGTGGTGGAGAAGGAGGTAGGCAGCCTCTTTGTAGGTCTGGGCAAAGGCAAAGCAAAATAAAGGTCTGGAAAAGCAAAGCAAAAGGGAAGGGAAGATGCCATACAGACTCCAGAGCAAGTTTAAACACTAGGCCTGGGTAACAACGGAAAAATTTGTTTCTAAAATCGATTTGTATTTGGGGTTTTTTTTTTTGTTTCGATATTTAAAATAATTACAAAATTTTCCTTTTAAAAAGTTCGATATTTACGAAATTTCGTAAATGGTAAAAAATTAACGAATCGTTTTCCGAAACAATAACGAATCGATTCGTTAATGGCGGACGCGACCGCGAAATACGCTAAAAAACCTCCAAAACCTTCTGAAGCTTCCCTCTCCCTCTGTTGTTGACTGTTGGTGTGATATTATAATTTTTTTTCACTAATTAAACCATAAAACTGGCCCAGACATGCGGAAATAATAACGAAACGACCTCAAAACAATAACGAAACGAATACAATATCGAAATACGAAGCATTTACAAAACGTTTTTGAAAATTCGTTTTTTTTAATAATTGCTCCAGACTGGTTCGTTATCGTTTTGTAATTGAAAAAATTAACGAATTATTAACGAATTACGAATTAACGAAACGAAACCGCCCAGCCCTATTAAACACATGTTTCCAAAATGGCATTTGGGGTGTGCTGAGTACCACTTGAAGTTTATTAGAGAAGAACAACTTGCTTCTACAACAACGTATCCTCCAGTACTAACCTTGCCTGCATACAAAAAGTATGTATGAGTGTCCAGTATGATTGAATCTGAATACGTGCCTGGATTGATATAACTTGTTGTGCAAGGGAGACAATTATATTTCCCTCCTATTTTAAAGTAATCTTTGGAAAATTCTCTGCAGCTGATCTGTCCTCAGACTGGAACATAAATATATGCATTCGTCCATATATCTTGGAATGGTTAGTCACACCATTTCAAACCATCCTGCAGTATATACTTTACAGTGTATTAAGTAAACTGGCTCCTTTTTTCTTTTCCTTTCTAGTTTCAATGTTTAGTAGAAGCTACGGTGCATAGTCCTGCCACATGCAGTTAAAGATGTTCAAGCAGAGACAGCATACTATGTCACAATGCCATTCTCTGCATATAGGAATAACAATGAAGCAGTGCCATGTCTCTGTGTTCCTATGGAGGCAGGCCTCTTTTTTTTCTTTTAATAGGTTTCCTTTCAATGTTTCCCTTACAGATTCACATGAGAAGAGGGCATAAATTGCTTGAGGCTCACATGGAAGGGAACCAATTTAATCTATTTGATCATCTCCATCATCAGTATCCCTCGTGACCTGAGTGCATTTAGAAAAAGGCTAAGAATCCTCCCCAGTCCACAAAGGATCTTTAGAAGATACACAGGGACTCTTCAGTAAAGCGTTCTCCAAGGCAGAAATACAGAGTTGTTGTTGTTTTTTCAATGAGGGGAGGATATTGATGTAAAATATATGAGATTCTAACAGGAATCACTAATTGTGTTCTCATAAGGACTGAGCCATGCAACTTATTTATTTGTTTGTTTGTTTATTTATTGGCCCTGTTTATACCCTGCCTTTCTCAACCCCATAGGGAACTCAAGACAGCTTACATGTTTAGGCAATGATTTGATGTTATGTAAACATACATATACAGTAAAATAAATAGTTATATAAAATGATAATTTAAAAACCAACATGTCAAACTTCAAAATAATATTTAAAATCACATTATTACTTCTGTGGTATAACACCCTCTGCTTAACACATAGAGGGTACTTACAGACAGAAAAAGAAGCTGTCAGAAAGCATGAAATGGTTACAAAAAAAAAAGAGGATGATGTTGCATATCCTCCAACATTTAACAGATGAATACTCTGAAATGTGTCAAAAGAACCAGAAGACAAATCCTATTAATAAAGAAGAGCACAAAAAACACTATTTGGAGCACAAAGAGCCTATAATTTATGTAATGAGTTTTTTAAATCTTGTAAAAAATTGAAAATCTCAAGGACGGCCAAGCACCTCTTTCCCTTCTCGGTCTACTGTTGAATAAATTTGGTCCAAACTATTTTTGCAGTTTTATTTCAGTTTGCAATAATTGAAATAAGCATGCATATATATATATATATATATATATATATATATATATATATATATATACCGTCCTTCTCAACCTCTGGAGAGGGACTCAGGATGGCTTCCAACAGGCAACTGTTCAGTGCCGACATAATATAAAACATATAATAAAATACAACCATATACATTAAAACAGTTATAAACATACATTAAAAACAGTTTGCTAGGTTAAAATCGTCATCCAAATCAGTCCATTGCGGTCAAATAAATTCTTATCTTCACCAGAAAATCAATCTATTCTACAAACGGTTGATCCCATAGCCAGGATTGAAGCTTCTTCTGGAAGGTCAGGAGAGAGGGGGCAGATCTAACCTCATTAGGGAGGGGGTTCCACAGCCGAGGGTCTACCATGGAGAAGGCCCTGTCTCTCATCCCCACCAAACGGGACTGCGATGGCGGTGGGACCGAGAGCAAGGGAGAAAGTGTGAGAAGGAGGGAGACACTGGGGCATTTTTAAAGGCACTAAAATATGTGTCAGTAGAAGATGAACTAGGACTGCCCTTCTAAACTGGAAGAACTGGAGGGTGTAAAGTTGTCTTGAAGTCATTGACAATTCCACAAAGAAGGATGGATGACTGTATGATAAAAGCCACCATCTAAGCACTCAGAAATGATAGAATAGTCAATAAGACCTGTCCCTGATCTTGTCCTAAACACCGTGGAGGAATAGCATATGCTAAATTGAGGTTTTTTTTCTTCTTTATAGGAACCAATTTCTTACTCCTTGTCAAACATCCCAGAATTGTGGGACTAAAAATCTGTTCCATGTCATTTGAATTCCATTATAGGATCCATTTTATACATGTTGATACTCACATCCACATTGATCAAATAGATTCTAGATCAATGGACCATCCTTGAAAACACTTTTAGACCCAACAGACATCAGCTTTCAGCCAGAACTAATACAAAACTGATTTTTCATTCCAAGTGCCTCCTCCTCTTTACAGAGAAGAGCAGCAACAAGATGCTTATGTTAAGTTTTTGAAACAGAACAAACATTCTTTCTTTCTTTTCTTTAGATATTTCAATATTTCCTCTAGAAAATGCCCCCATTGGGCACAATAGACAGTACAACATGGTGCCATTCTGGCCTCCAGTGACCAACAATGAGATGTTTGTTTCAGCACCAGAAAATCTGGGCTACAGTTATGAAGTTCAATGGCCAAGTAAGTTACGTAACTTTTCTTTCTCTTTATACTGCGGATTATGTTTTCTCCTTCTTAGGTTATATTGATAAAATGTTAGTTTACCATTTACAGATGTTCTATCCATTAAATAAATGCAAAGGTCTATTGTCCTTTCCATAATGGATCAGAAACTATTTCCATAATATATCAAGGAAAGGCCACCAAAAATACTGGGAAGGCAAGATTCAGCCTGTGTTCCTTTGTTTGAATTTAAAAACAAAAGAAAACAAACAAGCAGGAAACATGCCCTTTTTTAGCATCAACACACACACACACATAACCTTGAATTCCTAAGATATAACAACCCAGTGGAGTAAACCCGTGATTCTTAACCTGTGGTCCACAGACCCTCAGGAGTCATGATGTTCTCCAATGGTGAGAGACAAGCAAGAGATGGGGTAGTGGGGGTGGGGGTGGGGGGCTTGTTGCCCTGTTTTATGCAGACTACTAGTGCGCTTGAGAAGACGGGGAGGGAGAGGAGGAGAAGGAGAGGAAGACGTGCCTGGGAAGAAAAATTCTTTGGAGGGATCAAGGAATCATGGCCTCCTGGTGGTTCAAAGCTTATTGGAAAGGATGGCCTGAGCCCAGTTGAAATGGCTTCCCACAAATGTGAATCGAGAGTAGGCTTCTGAATGAACTCAGCAGGCCATGAAGGCTACTAAAGTTGAATCACCATGAGATCTGTAAGTCCAAAAAAAAAAAAGACAAAGAGAGCCTCTGCTCAGCCATATTTCAATGTGGGCTAGGAGACCAGAAAACTGGTTTGCTTCAGTGCCCAATAAACCAGACTAGAGCTAATATAAAAGGATGAAACTGGATTAAGACTTCACTGGAGAGCTGAGTTGGCACTGATTCAGATTTGCTCTGGTTTATGCAGCTTATAGTTTGAGTAAAGAAAATGGTATATATTCAGGAAGGCAAGGTTGAAGTCTACAAATGACCACCACATTTGAATGTTGAGTCTCTTTCTGGAGTTTAAGAGTCTCCCAGGAAAAACTCTGCGGCACAGAAGGAAGTAGGACTCAGAAGGAAGTAGGACTCTAGGTGGATACCATGCATTCCAGTGACCATTTTGATATTCAGCTCCCAACATCTCACACTTGTTTGAGATAAGATACTTATGACCCTGATCAGGCCATCTATGCACCTCTGCCCCAGACCGGCACTCTTCTGGTTCAAACTGCTCTACATGATTTTTTTTCCATTTCCCGGAGAGATGCGCATCAGTGTTCCAGAGGCAAAGAAGGTAGGAAGAAAAGATAAAGTGACAGGAGTGGAAGTAATCAATACCCCCCCCCCAAAAAAAAGGGTCAGTTAGTCTCCTGCTAGCCAGCCATGCCCTTGGGGCATTTTTCAGCAGCACTCTCCCCTGCATTCTGAATTCAAAAAAGCACTTCAGCAAGGGCAAGTGTCAACAATGCACTTTCCATTTTATGGAGCTGATTTCACCTGGATTACACTGCAATGTTCTGTAGCACATTCAAGGGCTTATCTCAGACTTTCCTGCAACTTTTTAATGCTCTGTAACCTTTTTGATTCACTCTGCAATGTACGTTGATACCTTGCATTTTGTAATGTCACAATTTCAAGTTGTTTTGAAGTTTCATTAAATGGGCAGTGTAGATGAACCCTAAGTCCTTGTTTTCTTTCCTCTTCATAAGGCCAGGTTTGCAGACCTTACGGTGTTGGGAGGGTTACATGCTGTCAGCATTTTTGAGGCAACTGGATGGCAGGATTGGACTGGGAGGATCTAATGCAGCTCACACACACACCAAAATTCAGAAGTTGTCCTGTCTGGTATTATCATTGCAATCAACAGTGGTAGGAATATGGTGTCATCCAGAATTTTTAAAGCAAGGTATTAAGTAGGTCAGACCTCTATCTACATTAGGGATGTCCTCTTGTAGATAGCCCTCAATTAATTTCTCAGATGTTTTGGTCCTACAACTACCGTCATCCAAATTACCATAGCCATTGGGGTAAGGGATTACAGAATTTTCAGTACAAAATTATCTAGAGGGCCCTCGTCCACAATTTTCAACTTGTAACCTTCTATGATCCATTCTTTTATCTTTCTAGCTCGGGCCCTCCACATCACTGAGATCATAACTATCGCAATTGTGACAGCCTTGATCCTGGTTGCAATTATATTTGCCGGCGCCACATGCATAGTTCATGCCAGACGGAGGGACGATGAAATCCACCAGCCTCTTCTCAATGAACAATATCAGACTTACTCAGATGATTACGACAGTATACCCACCCCAAGCCAGTCAGTTGTGTGAAATAGCAACTGCTTTTGCACCTTTTCTAGTGGCAACTCTCTCTGATCTATCTGACAATAAAGAACATTTACTGTGATAAACTTTGCTAGAGCTCCTATCACAAGGGAAATCTCAAGAGATTTGTACCTGTAACACATTTTCTTTGTTTCTTGGAATTTTCACTTGTTCCTTTTGCTTCAATTCCATATATATTGTTAGAAAAAAATAACTGGCATTTCCAGACTGTTAAGGTGGCAGCCATTTGAGAGAGTCTTAAACTAAAGGCTGTACATGCTTCTTCTGTTTAGCTTGTTATAGAAACTGATCCTTTTCGTCTACATGAGATTTGGATGCAGATGAAATGACGGAGTGGTTGTTATGAACATTTATTGATAAACACTCATAATTTCAATCATCTATTGTTAATTATAGTGAGAGAGGGCAAATGTGGTCACTATTTAGGTAGTCATCGTTTGCCGTTTGTGATCCCTGCTTAACTAAGAAATAACCCATTGGACCATATAATGAAACAATACTCTAATTCTAGACTGTGTTTGTTCTCTCTCGGTGGCACTAGCTGACAGTTAAATTTGACTATATGTAGCAATTTGGAAAGTGGCTCCATCATTTCTGATTGTTTGAGATGCTTCTAGGGGGAAAATCCTAAGAAAATCACACACAGGCAACTAGCAGGTAAGCCATGTAATATTATTAGTATTATATTTATTTATACCCAACTTAAACACAAAATTAAAATGCATGCACATTCAAAATGCAAAACATGGATACCGTCTTACTCAAACAAACATAACATACACCATGTTTCTAATTTTACATCTGTCCGTATGTGCTTTTGAATAGTTTGTTAATTTCATAGGGTGTTTTTTAGGGAAGAAATACTCAGAGTTGGTCTCCCATCCAAGAACTAACTAGAGATGACCCTGCTTAGTTTGCAAGATAAGCTGGGATCTGGTGCCTTTAAGTTGTTTAAGACAGTTACCGTTATCTATTCTTGCTTTGGTCTCTACACAAATTTGCTCCATAATTATTTTCCCAAATAATTTGAGTACTATATAGTACTTCCATGCAACTTATTGCATGCATTTTTGAAAAATATCCAGCCTATTGATCTATTCTTGTATGCCTAGAATAAAAATATGTCCACCGCTTTCACATGCTTTGTGCATATTATATAAAGGACAGTACATAGGACAGCCACAAGATGGCAGGACTGAAAACAGTTTAACTTGTCCCTTACCTTTAAAAAAAATCATGTACAAATCTGTTGCTTAAAGGGGATTCTGCAAAGGATATGTCTAATGTCATTTTGAATATTTGTACAAATTAAAGGATTGTAATTTCTCATTTTGAAATAGAATTGGAATATAGATGAAAATCACAACAATTCATATAAAGTTCAATCATTTTAAGAATAGTTATTATTATATACACAGATATTACACATAATAGCATCTTGTTTCGTTGTGCCTGTGGAAATTTCAATAAACTCTTATTTCCTTCAGTTGGGGCAGAATTGTGTCTCTGACATACACAGAACTTTTCCTGCTCAAGGAATTAGTTACTTTCAACTAATTCCTTGTTGCTTTCAACTAGTTCCTATTTCCATTCAGTGAGGCAAAATTACTATACATGATGTTGTATATCGATGAGGGATAGCATTATTCCTTTTATGGCATAGCTGTAACGTTTTTGGTAGTATGACTGCAATTTTTTAACAGTTACAGAATATGTCTTCACTGTTGGTAAGAGAGGAATATCATATGTGGTTGAATTCATCAATTGTACACAGGCTCTTGCTACATTATCGGTTGCAGAAATAAAGAAGTGGATAGGAAGGGTGTATATGTTTGACCAAAAGGCCAAGAACACATAGAATTCTAATATTCTTACTAAGGTTGGATCTCCTCTGCCATATAATCCAGTTTCAGAATGCAGATTAATGGCATTGAATTTGATAATATGAGTCTACACTGCATTTAATCAGCGTTCTGAAACTGGATTATATGTCAGTGTTGATACAGCCTAAGCTAACAAAAGTTAAGTATTTCAATTACTTATGAAAAGTGAAGCCAAAAGGAATTACACATCAAGTATAGTGGCAACCATTTTTTAGCCTAAAAGCTAAAATTAAAAACAATTACTTTTAAAAAGTAACTTTCCAGCATTCCGACTTCCCTGGGAGACAAGAGATACTGCCTTAACCGCAGACTTCCAAGACACTAAATTCAGTGTAGCTATTTAGTGTTTCCTAAAAATGTTACAGGTGCCTTATGAGATTTCAGAAAAGAAAGTTTACCCAAACCCAACATATATTTATGCTGAAGGATTAGCAGTTGTTACAGCTGTTAAAAAATATGTGTGTTGAACACACACAACTGTGGCAGGAAAAACTGCACATACCACTATAGGCTGGCTACTCCTCATATTATAGCCAAATAATTTTTTCCATTTGCTTGTTTTGTTTTGTTTTGTGTTGAGAGCACTTTGTTTTTGCTTTTCTTTTTTCCCTTGATGTCAATAAAAAAGTCAAACATCATGGCTCGTTTTGTTTAATGCCACAGTGTTTCTCTGTTGATCCTGGAGGAATTTGAGTGGGTTTGCCATCCGATCATGTGCCTTGGGTTCGTAGGTGGTGTTCCCTGCCCTGTGACCTGGGTTGGCATGACTTTTGTGATATACAATTGCTGCAGTCAATCTATGTACCGAGGACCTCATTTCCAAATGTCCCTACTTTGCCTTCTCCTTAAGGTGAAAATGTAATTGTTTCACTACCATTCCAACCCTGCACAGCTCAACCTAAATAAAGATGGACAACCTCCCATCCTCATATATTTGGTATGGAAGCAGTAGTTATGAGCCACAGGGCAGAATATTGAGGAAAAATGCAAAATATTCTTGGCTGAAAAATGTAAGTGGGAAAAGAATTTGGAACTCACAATGCTTGTGTTGTGACTTAGGCATTGCTGAGGTTCATATTCAAAACCAAGGACCTAAACAGCTTGGTGGTAATGTGTATTGTGTGCCTTCACATTGTTTCTCATGTGGGAAGATTCAGGCCAACTTTTCATGGGTTTCTCTGTGGATGTAGAATTAATGGAGTTTGATAGCACTTGAACTGCCAAGGCTCAATGCTATGGATTCATGGGAGTTGAAATTTGCTGAGGCACCAACACTCCTTGGCAGAGAAGGATAAACAACTTGCAAAAATACAGCTCCTATGATTCCATAGTATCAAGCCATGGGAGTTAAAGTGGTGTCAAACTGCATTCATTCTACAGTGTAGACCCTGACACAACTGCAACTTCCATGGCTGAGAAAGTGTGACTTGCCTAAGGCCAGCCAAGTACTGTATATACTCAAGTATAAGCCTAGTTTTTCAACCCTTTTCAAGGCTGAAAAGTTCCCCTTGGCTTATACTCGAGTTAAGGTTATTTATTATTTTACTCTGTTGTTGCTGTTGTTGTTAAAAACACAAAAAGATTAGTACACAGAAAAGTCACTCTGCTGGCTGTTGTATTGGATTACACGTCAGACACTTCCCAAGTGTCTAGGAGTGTGTGATGTATCGCCAAATAATGCATGCAGATCCCAGTAAGGTGGCCTTTTGCAGCTGACAGATGGTAATTTTGTCAGCGCCAATTGTGTTTAAGTGCAGGCCAAAGTCTTTAGGTACTGCACCCGATCACCTGGGACCACCTTTACTGGCTTGTGCCAGAGTCTTTGGAGTTCGATCTTTAAATCCTCGTATCATGTCTGATTTTCCAGTTGTTTCTCTTCAATCCTGCTGTAGCCTGGGATTGCAACATCGATGATCCATACTTGGTTTTTTAACACGATGGTGGGATCAGGAGTATTGTGCTCCAAAACTCTGTCCCAGAGTAGTTTGACGTGTTCATTTTCTGTAACTTTTTCAGGCTTGTGATCCCACCAGTTCTTTGTCACAGACAGATGGCATTTGTGGCACAAATTATTATTTTTACCATTACATTTATTATTTTATATTATTATTATTATTTTACTGACACAAAAGCACAGTATGTCACAGCAAACGAGATCTATATGCTGGATTTCGTATCACAAAATCACAAGTTGAACACTTCCCAAGCGTCTAGGACTGTGTGATGTATTTTTAATGATGCACGCAGATCCAAGGAAGGTGCCCTTTTGCAGATGACAAATCATGATTTTGTCGGTGTTTATTATTTCCAAATGCTGGCTGAGATCTTTTGGCACGGCACCCAGTGTGCCAATGACCACTGGGACCACCTGTACTGGTTTATGCCAGAGCCTTTGTAGTTCAACTCTGTGGCCCAAATGATTCACTGGAACTTATGTCACAAGTACCACCTACCAGCAGTAAAGAATTGGTGGGATGATAAACCCGCAAATGTCGTGGAAAATGAACATGCAAAAATACTGTGGGACTTTCGAATCCAGACTGACAAAGTTTTGGAACACAATACACCAGACATCATGATTGTGGAAAAGAAAAAAGTCTGGATTATTGATATTGCCATACCAGGTGGTGACARTCGCATTGAGGAAAAACAACAGGAAAAACTCAGCCGCTATCAAGACCTAAAAATTATTATTATTATTATTATTATTATTATTATTATTATTATTTTACTTTATTATTGCTGTTATTTTACTCTATTGTTATTATTACATTTATTATTTTACTCTATTATTACTGTTATTATTACATTTCCATTATTTTACTCTATTATTATTATTATTTTACTCTCTTTATTATTATTGGAAAGATACATAAGCACATTTACATTGAAGAAGGTTATAATAATGGTTTAATCAGAGTTGGACAGTCTTATCTTAAATTACAGTTTTATGTAAATATTCAAAAACATTTAACCTACGGATGCCTCAATTAATGTAATTGTATTGGTATCTATTTTTATTTTGAAATTTCCCAGGAGCTACTGCATTTCCCAACCTCGGCATATACTCGTGTCAATCCGTTTTCCCGGTTTTTCTGGTAAAATTAGATTCCTAGGCTTATTTTCGGGTTGGCTTATCCTCGAGTATATACAGGAGGTTGTATGATCCTACCACTACAATATATTCTCTCTTTGTGTGTAGTGTGTGAAATCATGATAATAAATATCTATGTTCTACTTTTCCCCCAAGATTTGGATTCAAGGAAGCTTATACATTAAAAGTATTACAATTAAAACATGCAAAATCTCAACATTGAAGTCAATTTAAATTTGAACCAAATTCAAAAGATATACAAAAGTTACACAGACTATTGAAAATGATAGCATATAAAGTCCTTTGTTAAGAGTCTCTCTGAATAAAAATGTATTTGCATGCTGCTGAAAGGACAGCAAGAAGGTGGCCATTCTAGGCCCCCATCTACACTGCCATATAATCCAGTTTCTGGTGCCAGACTATCTGATTTGAACTGGATTATATGACAATGTGGAGTCATATAATCCAATTCAAAGCAGATACTCTGGGATGAGATATAGAATTATATGGCAGTGTAGATCCAGTCTAGGATACATCTGCACTTTGAAATTTAACTGCCATGGTTCAATGCTATGGGAACATGGGAGTTGTACTTTTGCAAACCTTCTCTGCCAAAGAGTATGTTGCCTGGTGTGCCACCAAACTACAAGTCCCATGATTCCATGACCTTTCCATACAGTCATATAATCCAGAATATCAGGGCAGATAATCCACAATATCTGCTTTGAACCAGGCTATCTGAGTCCACACTGCCATATAACCCAGTTCAAAGCAGGTAATCTGGGATTTTGTATATCTGTGTGGAAGAGGCCCATAACTTTCACCCATGGCAGTTAAAATGGGGTCAAACTGTGCAGATGAATAACTTGTTTCATATGAGTTCGTAAAGCTTGAGGGCAGAGACGTTTTAGGTATTTCTTCTTCTCAATGATTACAGCATATTTGTGCAAGCATATTTCACCAATTTTTCACATTCTAGCAGCTTCTATTTTAAGATGTGTGCATGTGCTCTTTAATTCTCAGAAACCTCACCAAATCTTGCAAACATATGAATTCTTCTCAGAGGATGTATTTGTTCTCACAAGTCTCGGGAGGTGGTGGAAATGCTACTTTTGTTATCAAAGCCAGAGATATTATTTTTTGCTCCACTGGCCTTTATTTTCTTAGGGGGGCAGTGTTGTATCCCTGCCTCCTGTTGCTACACAATGCCTTGTGTTGCTACACAATACATAGATAGATCAATAGATAAATCCCAATGTACACAGTTGGAAAGGCGTTCAACCAGCTTACATAACAGCCCTTCAATAAAAAGACATGTTAGTCCCTGCCTTCAGGTGTATGTTAGCCAAAATGTTGAATGAAAAGGGGGGGGGGGGGAACCAGGGAAAGTACTGCACAAATTCTTAAAAGTTATGAAGCTGTGATGATAAACTTTTTGGATGACAGCTGAAGGAGTAACTACATGTGCATCTACACTGTAGAATTAATGGAGTTTGACAGCTATAGCTCAATGTTATGGAATTGTGAGAGTTGCAGTGTCATTTTCATGTGCCAGGAGATTGGAGGGGCCTCCAGCTAAGGGTTCATTTTTTTCAGGGGGAGAAGGGTGGCTGGGAGGGAAAGGGAGGGGAGGGTGAAGCACTATCCCACTCCTTTGGGCTCTTAGAGCCCAAAGAACTGGGATCACTGTGGGCATTGACCTGTGGGATTGCAAGAACAAAAAAAAAAAGCTCTGTTTCTATATTTAAAGGCTCCCAAGATGGCTGCTTCAACATTTCTACCAGAAATCAGCAGGATTTTTTTTTTTTTAAAAAAAAAAACCCTCACAGGATGCCAATATACAGAGATTTGGATATATGGATAACCGCAAAAGTTCTGTTCTTTTTCCCTCCAGATGTTTCATGAACTATCTCCTACACAAACAAACCTCATGGGATATGACCACTACTGTAAGTCAGCAGTACACAAACAGGAACACACACCTTTAAGCCAGGAACGTTGTCATTATCTATTATTTTTACAGTCTGGCTGCCTAGCCATCTATCTACAGATTTGGTTGTGTACTTGTGGCATCCAACAACAGGGTCCTGTTTCTGGGTTATACATGGCTTGTCCTATTAGCTATCTGCATGATCTTGGCTCTCAATATTACAATCCTCTCTAGCACTTCAATGTCCCTCCTTCGGCCTGGAGGTATTTTAAAAAAAAAACCTGGAGGTTCAAGATATGTGGATGTGTGGATATATCAGCAAAAGTTCAATTTTATGCACAGGCCAGAGAAACTGTGCTCTCCACATGTTTCATAAAGTATCTGCCACACAAACAAAGTTTTTGGGGTAGGACTACTTTTGTCGAAGTCAGCACTACACAATGGAACAGGAACACACACTTTCAAGCTAGGAACAGAACAGCAATATTCCAACACCTGGAAATCTCATGTTTTTTGCCTTTTGATGCAATTATTTCCGTATTTACAGAGAATGGCATCTGGCCACCCTCCTGATTGCTGTGGGAGCTCCTGGGATAAAGGTACTGTCTGGATGG